CTGAGTTATTAATTCGCTTTTAAAATGATGGAAAGAAGGAAACTCGCACATCACAAAAGTCAATGCAGAATGCTGTTCGCATGGTTTGCTAACGGTACATTTTTCACCATTCACTGTATTTTTTTTTTTTTTTTTAAAAATGAGAATTTAAAAATTCTTGCAAGCATCTGTGCAAGCCAAGAATTTCAAAATTTTCTGCTTCCTACCTTTGCAAGGCCCATCGGGCCTTACATTTTTTCTGCCTGGCTGTCATAGTCTAATGCCCACCAGCTAAAAATCTTATTGAAACCCCTGATAATGAATTTTAAAGAAAGAAAAATAAAAGAACCACACTAATTCTAAACATTTCAGCAAAAAATCCTCTGAGTTGAGTTGTCTTTGCATTAAGTACAATGTGCTATAATTTTCGGTTTGCAGTTTGCCTCGTTCCTTACATGAGGCAGCTTATACATCACTTATAAAATTACTTCGTATTCCCCAATCTGGAAAATGGTCCACTGAGGCTTTAATACAACAAGTAATCTATCAGAAATCGTTTAACCACAAACACAAATCATTCTATCGAAAGAATCTACCTTGAAAACACTGTGCTAAAATGTAGCGTTCAAAAATATGCACAACTATTTGCTCTTGGACACTATTTGCTATGAAGACCAGCCTAGTGATCTAGTAGCTTATGTACTGACTGTGGTATGTAGTGTTAATGCTATTGCCATGTGCTCGAATTAACCTTCTAAAAACGCTTCCTTACGCTGCAAGTTAGTTTTCAATATAAAGGAGTACATTTTGCTAATGATAGTATAAGAACAAGCCGTAGAAAGAGCAAATAAAAACAGAAAAACTGTGCGCGAAATTTCCCTCAACCAAACGGTAAGAATTGCCGGTCTCGACGATGCTTTCTCGGGAATTCTTGACCTGGAAGCAAGCCCAGTAGAAGGTCAATCACTGCAACAAAAATATAAGAAAGGGAGAAAAAGGAAAGGGGAAAAAAAATGAATAAAATAACAACGAAAAGTTTACAGATGTAAACCACACTTTCTCTTTGATTTCTGCGTATGCCCTGGCCAAAATGTCGT